CTGGAGCTCACTTGGTAGCCCAGGCTGGCCTCGAACTCACAGAGATCCGCCTGGCTCTGCCTCCCGAGTGCTGGGATTAAAGGCGTGCGCCACCACGCCCGGCCTTACCACAGTTTTATAAATAGTGTCTGAGCTGTGGTCTGGTTGTGGGCAGGATTCTGCCCTCCATGCAGCTGGAAGGAGAATGCTGCATTCAAGCTGTAGAGGTCTGGGGGATCCATGGGGAAAAATGGATCTCGCTCTGTAGACCAGGCTGGCCTCGAACTCACAGAGATCCACCTGCCTCTGCCTCCCAAGTGCTGGAATTAAAGGCGTGTGCCACCACGCCGGGCTTAAAATTTTCTTTTAATGTATACAGGAACATCTTAGACCCTGGGTCTGGTGGCTCTATCAGGGTAGGGGTCCCTAGGAGATATTCCTGACTTTATATATAAATATATGTGTTAGTTTATTTATTTATTTAATTTTGGTTTTTCAAAACAGGGTTTCTCTGTGTATCTTTGGAGCCATTCCTGGAACTCACTCTGTAGACCAGGCTGGCCTTGAACTCACAGAGATCCACTTGCCTCTGCCTCCCCAGGGCTGAGATTAAAGGCGTGTGCCACCACCACCTGGCCTGTTAGTTTATTTCTTTCCATGTGTATGGGTGTTTTGCCTGCATGTATGTCTGTGCACCATGTGTGTGCCTGATGTCCGAGGAGGCCAGAAGAGGGCATTGGATCCCCTGGAGCCCCTGGAACTGGAGTTACAGACAGTTGTTAGTTACCATGTGAATGCTGGGAATGAATCGAACCCAGGCCCCTCTGTGAAAGCAGCCAATGCTCTTATCCATGTAGCCATCTCTCCAGCCATTTCACTGCACCTTTTTGAGACAAATATTCACTAGGTAGCCCAGGTTGGCCTAGAGGTGGTGATCGTCCAGTCTGTTTCCCAAATGCTGAGTGTAAGCCACCACACTCACACCAGAGCTTTTTTTTGTCTTCCTTTTATTTTATTTTACAATACCATTCAGTTCTACATATCAACCACAGGTTCCCCTGTTCTCCCCCTGCCCTCCCCCTCTCCTTACCCCCAGCCCACCCCCCCATTCCCACCTCCTCCAGGGCAAAGCCTCCCCCGAGGACTGCGATCAACCTGGTAGACTCAGTCCAGGCAGGTCCAGTCCCTTCCTCCCAGACTGAGCCAAGCGTCTCTGCATAAGCTCCAGGTTTCAAACAGCCAACTCATGCAATGAGCACAGGACTCGGTCCCACTGCCTAGTTGCCTCCCAAACAAATCACGCCAATCACTGTCTCACCTATTCAGAGGGCCTGATCCAGCTGGGGGCCCCTCAGCCTTTGGTTCATAGTTCATGTGTTTCCATTCATTTGGCTATTTTTTTTCAATAATTGAGTAAAACCGAAATTTATTATATGTCACAGTCGTCCTAGGGACCTCCATGCTATATATATAGCCTCTATGGTTCTATGGGTTGTGGTCTGATTGTTCTTTATTTTATATCTAGAATCCACTTATGAGTGAGTACATACCATGACTGTCTTTCTGGGTTTGGGTTACCTCACTCAGGATGATTTTTTCTAGTTCTATCCATTTGCCTGCAAATTTCATGCTTTCATTGTTTTTCTCTGCTGAGTAGTACTCCATTCACACCAGAGCTTTATTCCTTAATCTTTTGGGTCTTTTGTTTTGTTTTGCTTTTTGTGTTGTTTTGTTTTGTTTTTGAGATAGGGTCATATTATGGAGCCCTGGAACTTACTATGTAGACTAGTCAGGCTTTGAAGTCATAGAGATGTACCTGCTTCTGCTCCTGCCTCTTGGGTGCTGGAATAAAGGTGTGAGCCACCACCAAAGCTATCTACTAGTTTTTCGGATTTTTGAGACACAGCCATGCAGTCCCTTCCAACAAGCTGTTCCCAAGTCATCGCCACATCTGCCCCACAACTTCTTCCACATCCTAGAGCCTCACAGCGAAGTCCCAGCACGGAACTGGAGATGCTAAGGCAAGTGCTTTAAGGCCTGATCTGTCTTACTGAAAGCCTGTCTCACTTTGCTCCGTGTTGGCCCGGAACTAGCAGCAACCCTGCCTTAGGCTCCCCAGTGCTAAGATTATAGGTAGAAGCCCCCATTCCCGAGGAGAGCTTCACTTCGGAGTTAAGAAGCTGCGAGTCCCGCGAGGAGCGGACTTGGAAGGAACGTCAGGCAGGGAAGAACTCCGCCGCCGCCACCCTTCCCATCCCGTCGGTCTCCGGGATCCGGGAGCGTCGGGCTCCACCCTCCCGGGTCCTGTACTCACACCTGGTGTTTGGGCGTGCCTCAGTTTCCCAGTAGCAGGGCGTTCCGCCAGCCCCGCTCCTCCCCCTTTTCCTCTTCCTCTTCGGGGCGTCGGTGGCCGCCCCTTGGAGCTCCCGGAACTAAAAGCAGACCTCGGGCGGTGGGCCGGCGGGGGCCACGTCAGCGGGTGGCGGGGCTGTGCGGGCAGCATGCGGCGGGGCGCGCTCCTGGCCGGTGCCCTGGCTGTCTACGCCGGGTACCTGGCGCTAGGCGCGCTGCTGGTGGCTCAGCTGGAGCGGCCGCACGAAGCCCGGCTGCGGGCGGAGCTGGGGACGCTGCGGGAGCAGCTGCTGCGGCACAGCCCGTGCGTGGCGGCAGCCGCCCTGGACTCCTTCGTGGAGCGGGTGCTGGCGGCGGGACGGCTGGGACGCGCCGTGCTGGCCAACGCCTCGGGAGCAGGCAACGCTTCGGACCCAGCCTGGGACTTCGCCTCGGCGCTCTTCTTCGCCAGCACTCTGGTCACCACCGTGGGTAAGTGAGTGCCATCCTCCCACTCCCCGGCCAGCGTCCGGGGCCCTTCAAGATACACCTTCATCCAAATGTCTCAGAACAACCCCTATTCCCAGCACGGAAACAGACCCACACTAGCCTCAGCTGCCCCTTCTGAGAATCCTCTTGCAAGTCAAGCCTTCCTCTCAACAGTAAACACCCCAGTTCCCTCGGAGTAGAGACCGCCTCATAATAACTTCTCTTATAGCATCTGGGTCCCCCTCTGGTGCCTTTTGTTTGTTTGATCTTGAGATAGCGCCTTCCTCTGGAGCCTGAGCTGGCCTGGAACTTCATCTCCCTGCCTCAGCCTCCTAAAATGCTGAGATTACAGGTGTGGGCCACTAGGCCTGGTTCCACTCCTGTCTTTTTTGTGGGGGGGTGGTGGTGAAGGAGGACAGGGTTTCTTCGTGTAGTTTTGCAGCCTGTTCTGGAACTTGCTCTGTAGACCAGGCTGGCCTCGAACTCACAGAGATCCACCTGCCTCTGCCTCCCAAGTGCTGGGATTAAAGGGGTGTGCTACCATCCACTCCTGGCCTAAGATTATCATCCATAATCCTCAAGGGCCTGAGACCTTCCTTGGGTCTCTGACCTCAGGCTGTGTCCATATCAGGGCTGGCACAACCATCTCCTCCAGCCTTGTCTCCTGACTCCAGATAGGTCCTTCCTGGAACAGCCCACTTCAGCTTCCTCCTGAGCTTAGTTTCCCGGTGAGCACCGAGATGCAGGATGGGGGATTGAACTCAGGCCCTCATGCTAGTCAGTATCTCAGGGCACCCTTACCGGAGCCTGACCTTTAGGGGAGACCTGAGACCTCTTCTGGGATCCCTTCCACTCTGAGCACTCCCCAGCAAGGGCCCCAGACCAAAGGCACCCATCTCTCTCCTGTCCCCATATTTCCCACCCTGACACAGGACTCCACCCATCTTCCCACCTCCCCTGTATTGCCAGGATTTCTCCCAATGGTCTTCCACTCTAACTCAGGATTCCTGGATCAGCAGCTCCAACAGCAGGGTAGGAAGGGGACCAGCTCAGAGTGTTCTCCATGAAGACTCATTGGCTGTCCAGCTTGAAGCTCCCCAAGCCCAGACTCCCGCCCCAAACTACCTCCAGCAAAACCTCTAGTCCTTTCCAAAACAAGGACCAGCCATGGGGGTCTCTTTGAATGCATAGGTGAGGAGGGTCGAGGCATAGCCCAGCAGCAGAACACATGCCTAGCATGTGTGAGGTACTACAACAACCAAACACCTAAACCCATGAATGGGACTCCCGTCCCTTCTCCAGACTGTGACCCTGCTCAGTGAGAACAAATCCCCACTCCAGGACACAGTCCAAAGACTTGACTCTCTCCACCTGCT